AGAGGATACCCATCTTCCTTTTTAACATCACCCCCCCCCCCCCCCCCCCCCCCCCGCTCAAGTGATCAACTGGTGCAGCAGGGAGCCCTTTTTTTTTTTTCTTTCTTGCCAGAGGGAAGGAAAGAGTGGGAGGCGCAGATCCAGGCGCCTCCACCTCCCCTCACGCTCGCTCCCTTCCTATCCCCCACCCCTCCCCCCCCATGGTTCCCCCAGCAGTGCACATTCGTCATCAGGTTTGTCTGATTAAAAGACAGAAGGCCTCAGGTAGCTATTGCTGCTGCGCTGCGTCACATCAGTAATCCTCCACCATCTCCATCTCATTCAGGCTCAGACACTCGCCCGCGTTGTGGAATGAGTACCCTGCAGGGGTGGTGGTGGGGGGGGGGAGACAGAGAGAGCAGAGTAAGATCAGAGGACGGGACATGGGGGAGTTAGAAGGCTGGCAAGGGGGTAACAAAGATGCAAGCCAGAAATAATGTGACAAGAAGAAACCTCTGCTCTAGAAAAGGTTAACCCTTAATTTTAAATGTAAGAAGAAGCAAACTCATTGCAAACCATAAGTTAAATTTATGTTGATTAATAATCAAACGTAGATAGTGGTCACATCCAAGCCCATGAGGTAACGTGCATAGGTTCAAAATGAGTGTACCGACTTCAATGTTTTAATCAGTACAATCTCTTTTCCCTCTACAGAATAAGACGGCTGAAACTATATAGATGACACGATCCATTTTTAGCGATAGCACATTTGTTTTGGCCACCGGTTTACGTCTACCAACAGCGAGCCGTATCCCATCCCCGGGTTTACGCTCCAAGCAGCTCATGGGGACATAAATAAAGCTCAGGCATAAGCCTACCCTACGAGCACGCCCTACTCACCACCTGGAGTGGGTGCAAACAGGTCATCAAGAAGATGCAGTACTCTCTGCAGAGAGTCTCCTTGGTCGCTTTTGTTAGACTCTATTGAGGTCGTGTTTTGTTTAATTCACAATGCTAATTGAGATTCAAAGCTAGCTATGTCTAGATTCTGACCATTTCCAGAGGACTGAAGTCAAAAGGAAGCAATATAAAATGCTGGTGAGGTCACATACCTAAGATGCTGGGGTCAGAGTGCAGCATCATGGGCTGTTTCTTCTTCATCTTCCCCCCCTGGTTGTCATAGAGGCCAGCCTTGCTCATGTGGTTGGCTTGAAACATGGACTGCAGGGTGCTTGGATTCATTCCTCGCATCGAGTCCTAAAAACAAAAGAAAAGAAAAATAAAGACAATCGTACAAATGCTAGTCAGGACATTCTCAACGGCCCCACAAAGTGTTTTTTTTTTTTTTTTAAAGCTATGAGAATCCATTTGTACCATATTTTCAATCCCTTCGTGAGGAAATAAATGCCCTTTCTTGTCGTAGCCTTCAGTGACTGCTATTGCTTTTATGTTTACCGCTGACTGTAAATGGAGTCTTGCACTTAAGACAGTGACGTTGTCTTGTTGGCATGTGTGCATACTGAGAGTTCTCCCAGTTTTCTTTGAAGGACTTTGTTTTCCCATGAATGACGTCCAAAATGCGGACTTTGCGTTTACACATTTAAGGTTGTCGGCCCAGGTTTTGATATTCATCAACCAGTTGACAATTGTCAAATAGCAGCGGGAGACATAAAAAGACACAATCACAAGAACTCAGCTCCATCAGTGATTGTATGTACAGTACAAAAGCATATCTGCATTTACCTGCAGAGGGAAGTTCATGTTCAATCCAGCCACTTCCTTTGATAACTGGGATTCATAAAGAGGGGAAGAGGAATGATTTATAAATTTAAATAGCACACGTCAAAGGCTCCTCTATTTTATTTCACGTAGCCTGTTATTGGTAGTTTTAAACCTCACCTTCATATTAAAACATTCACAATTATGCACATGCTCTTTTCCTGATAGCCAGTACAACAGGAACCATGTCCCAGATTTGTCACTCAAAATGTACCAGGTATTCAGCACATCCTTGTTAAAGATATTTTGCATTGATATCATTTGTATGTCTGGGCAGCAAATGAGAACTTAGCCAACAGGTTATGTTTTTTGACATATGCAGTTCTCATTTTACCTGCTGCTGCTGTCTCTGTTGGTTGGCTTTCTGTTTGGCACGTCGCTCCAGAAACTGTTTGGCGAACTCTTTGGCTTCCACTGTGTCCCCTAGGTAGGACCGGATGAAGTCCAGTACTGCATAGGGAGACTCCACCTCCTTCAGGTATGCCACAATTGTGGCAACTTAATAAAGACATACAGATGAAGTGATTAGCAATGCTGAAAATGTGTTGAAATCGGTTTACTGAGAAGTCCTTTTTGGTCCATAAATACTAAAATGAGTTGTGTGCACATAGCAATCACCTATCTAAGTTTAGGGGGAATTGTCCTCACCCTTGACATTGCTAACTACATGAAAGCCTACCATCCAGAGAAGAGGAAGAGTTGTTGGCAGAGGTGTTGAGAGCGTGCAGCATCTGTTCACACCAGGTAGTGAAGCCGTCCTGAGGCTTCATGCCCTGCAGCAGCTTCAGCAGCTTCTCCTCCTCCTCTGTCCGCTTTCGACGCATCATGTACTGCTCACTGCAGAGGACATGGGGTTCAGTGCATCTTAACGACGTTCGCATGAAAAACACACAAAACGCAGTACCATCTGCCACGGTAGGCGTGACAAAGTGCACAGTGTTTTTAGCAGTGTGTATTCGATCTGGTCTGTGTACCTGAGTGAAGGGCTGCTGCGGCTGTTCTTCAAGCCCATGTTGTTGTTGCTGTTGCCACGGAGGCCGGACTGGTTCTTCACAGCCTCGTCCCACATGCCCATGCTGCCCGAAGAGCTCACACTGCCACTCTTACCCTCCATACCTCCAGGCCCACCCCACATGCCAACTCCATCCGCCCACTGCGATCCCATGGAGGAGCTCCCCATCGACATGCCGGAGTGCTGGAAAGATAGAGAAATCATTGAGATGAGTAAAATGTAATTTTCTATTTTCATTACCTGAAATGGACTTTCTGCTTGAAACATTGAATTTACTCACGCGGTCTCTCTGCTGCTGTGCTCTCTGTTGCTGCTGCAGCTTCAGCAGCCTCTCTGCCTCCTGCTGCATTTCCAGCAGAGCCAGAGCCGGGGGCTTCCCGGACTTGGATAGCCCAGAGGAGGGAGACCCGCTCCAGCCTGAGCCACTTGCCCCAGAACCCTGCTGCTGGGGGGTCTGCTGGAGCAACTTCATGATCAGTTCCTGCTGCTGACGACACTGCAGGAAGATATCAAGGAGGAAAACACTTTAAAGAGGAAATGTATAACTCCACCAACAGCACTTAAAGCCTCAGCCATTCTTATTGCATTTAATATTCCTATAACATAAAAGGTTAAACATTTTTTGCATCAAAAAAAAAAAAAAAGACATCTCAATTTTGATTATACAAAATCAGAAATAACAGTCTGAATATTTGTAGTCCTTCAACTCACCTGCTTGCGTCTGAAGAGCTCCTCCTCCTCCCTCCTCTTCTGCTCCTCCTGTAACCTCCTCTTCTCCTCCCTCCTCTTACGCTGCTCCTCCTCTTCACGCTTTGCCCTGAGTTCAGCATCTCGCCTCTCCTGCTGGAGCTGAAGGGAGAACATCAGGAGTAAAAGGCACAGATTAAAATACGCAACAAAAGCTGCATTCTGGTTTTGCGTCTGACACAATCTATTTTGAATGCAGTTACTGTGCCAGCAAGCAATAAAAAAAAACATTCAATTGAGAGTTTTTAACTCTTGAAAGTGAAGACAATGAGATACAACTGATGACTGGCCACGCAAAACATAGAACACAAAAAACGTTGTCTGGCTGAACATCTCACAGATGAACCCACCTTCTGAAGCTGTTCGAGAGTTGGACCCTGAGTAGAAGGATTCATTGTTATGTCCCAAAGACTGGCTTCACCGCCTAACATGGAAATAAAATTGGATTAATTTAGCAAAACTTGGGTACGTGTGTTGTGGTTCACAACCAGGTCGCAGTCTGGAACGTACCGGATGGCTGCGAAGCTGAGGTATGCATGTCCCACATGGACCCTGTATCTGGCACTGACATCGACCTGTTCATCGACGGCATCATACCCTGCTCACTGCACCTGGAGCAAACAAAGCAACGTTTAACACTGAAAGAAAAGGCAAAATTATAATTACAGAAACTGGGACCCAACCAAAATGTACCCCCCCTGTAGTCCTACCTATTAATGAGCTGGAATAGCTGCTGCTGTTGGAGCTGCTGATAAAGAGCTGCTGCTGCCAGCTCCTGTTGCTTTTTCAGGCGGTCCTGGTCTCCCTGAAAAAATGACAATGACCAGTCAATAAAACTCAAGACACCAAAACACAAATACCCATATAAAGTGGGATACGGCTAAGAGAGGATTGCTTGTGGGGAATTGTCCATTAACTACAACCACAGTCTGTGCTTTATAAACTAGTCTGAGCGTCTTCACAATACAGATTTTGTGCATATCTTAAATATGATTTAAAAAAAGTAACATGCAGTCAAATATGCACAAACATCTGATCAACTGTGCCACATTCATAGGTAATCAGGAAAACATGTGACAATATCTGTAGTGTTATATTACAGCACTAAATGCAGGTATGGAGGCCGCCCTGTGCTGCTCTATTCATTTGAAGCATACATGCAAACAAGGATTTTACTGCAGGCCACTGCATAATGTGGTTATACGACTGTGGTTTGAATATGCATATCCTTTTCCCACTTCCTACAGAAGGGAATGAAGGTATTGGCTGTAACACAGATACAATGACAAGTCTTAGAATCACGTGGGGGCAATTTCACAAATCTCTCTCAAGTTAAAACGGAATTTGAAGGAATCATTGGGTGTTTTACCGTAACCTGTCTATCAATCTTCCCTCTCCTCTGCATCCTCCCCTCCCCATCGTCCACGTTGGCTGAGCTCTGACTCACAGTCCCGGCGGAACCCCGGGTGGACTGTGAGCGCTGCGTCGGTGGTGGCTGTCTCACCAGCAGGGGCGGCGGGGAGGGCCCCGGGGCGAAGGGCACGCGGCCCCACATCTTGATGACGTCGCCCAGGGGCTGGAAGCCCTCGTCGCAGCCCCGCTTCACGAGCAGGGTCATGGTGAAGTAGCCGGCCTGGAACCACTCGCACATCTCCACGGTGGTGAAGGGACCTGGTAGCGGGTCGGACAGAGACAGAGAGAGATGAGCTTACAAAGCAAACCCTGTCGCCATGTCACCGACTTTGTGTACCTCCTTTCAATTAGTTCAGACAATATCAATATTAATGCATCAACATGCCACGCTTGGCTGTACGAGTGTGCAAGTAACTATGCATGCCACGGTGTGCGAGTGTACCCTGGATCTCTCCCTGGGGGTCCTTGTAGAACCACTTCATGGCAGCCTCATGTGACAGCGGCAGAGCGGCTGCTGTGTTCCTGCTCTCCTGCTGCTGCAGAGCCTGGGTGAAACACTCCTCCTCCAAAGAAGTGTCCTGCAGTGATGCCACCATCTTTTCCGCCTCCTATGCGCGCGCACACGCACACACACACACACACACACACATTGACCTTTTTGAACAGAATGAATATGGGTACATTTCATAGATTACATTTATTGATGATTCTACATACATGACTCTTGAATATTCTGCAGCACAATAATCTAATTGATTAGCGTTAACTGCGCTTGAGACATGGTCTTGAAATGTGCCTTCTGTTGTTCCTACCTGCTGCAGGTGCTTCATGCCCTCATCGTCCTCCATGTCTCCGCCAGGTGGAGGGAGAAAAGGAGCCGCAGAGCAAGGGGGTGGGGGAGGCAAACTGGAGGAGGTCGGGGCGCCGAGGCTCAGCTGGACCTTGGAGCCCATTACCGTGGCCATGTCTGAAACAAAAACAAGAAGAAGCGTTAGGATGTGGGGGGGTAGAGCCACCTACTGGCTCTGCATCTGATGCAGCAGTAAACAAGATATTAAATGACTGGGGCGAAACATATTGTGTATCAAACCAAAATATCAACATGGCTAAATATATCTTTATGTTGTTGCAATAAGGCGTACCTTCACTGGACATGCTGCTGGCCTTGACGGAGTAGCTGTTGTTCATCTGAAGGATGTCCACCATTGGGCCAGTGTTGCTGGGCCGAGGCTCCAGGCATGGAGGGGAACAGTGTTGGAGAGCGGGAGGAGACGAGGAGGGAGATGCCCGCTTTGTCTCGCAATCCCCGACAGCTGAGCCAGCTTCTTTACTCTCTGTTAGGCAAGAGTGGAGGAAAGGAAGTAAGATGCCACAATCATGAATAATGAATTCCTCCTGGGCCTGTGATCAACTAAACAAAGTTCAGACAATTAGGTGTTTTGCACATTTAGGATGCAGAAGAATCATCCAGTCGTCCATTTCATCAAGTTTCATTAACATTTAAATTTTGCATTTAACTCCTTTGGTCAGTGAAACAATAATAACACATATTCAAAAAACGTTTTAAAAATCATCAAATAAAGAGAATTCTTTCCTCACCTTTGTCTTTATCTCCTTCAGCACTGTTCCTCTCCATGTCAGCGAAGTGCTCCTCCTCCTCCTCCTCCTCCTCCTCAATGCCCTTAAAGTCAAACTCCTCCTCCAGGATTGTATCCTTCCCCCCCTTCTGACAGAAAAGTCCAGGAGAAACAGTGGCAATGAAGGAGTGTAACAAAAAGTGGGGATCACTGTATAAGAGATATACCGTCTGAAATACAAGATGTGCCTGTTTTCTAAACACTGTTTTTGTATAAAACCCAATTGTGCATATGTTTATAATACCAGGGGCTGAAAACAAATAAAAAACCGACCTTCATAGTCATGAAAGCTCCAGAGGAGTCAAACGTGCCCATCTCCCCGTCCTCATCGTCTGTACACCACTCGGGCAGGCCGTCCCTGCCGTCCTCCAGTCCCTCACTGCCTGCACGCCGGCGGCCACCACCACCACCGTGGCCATCCGAGTCCCGGAAATCAAAATCAAACTTCCTCCGACGACTCTCACCTGGACCGGTATGGTCCCGCCAGCCTGCTGAGCGAGGACCACCATCTGCCAAAAGGAATGGGCCGCCATCAGTGTCAGACTGGACTGGAGTCAAAAATATAAAGAGGTAAGTTTCTGCTACAAACATTGAAAAAGGTACAGATTCAAGGTTGCCAGAGAAACACATTGCCAAGTGACAGCAGTTGCTTGGACAATCATGTGGTTATGTCTTGGGATCTTATATCTCACTTCCTGTTTAGAGGAAGAGTTTTAGAAAAAGGTCTATTAAATCGACTGTCCTCAGAAACTGTGGAGGCTTCAAAGTGCAGCTCTGTTTCAGCTAAAACTGGATTGTGTCATTTAGGATTACACTTTTACTGCCACCAGATGTCACTATAGCTACTATTTAAGGGAAATCTGATGCACACATTGTTAACTTGGATCTGATGGCAGTGAGGAGTAACATAAATCAAATTTTCGTCTACCCGGGACATTAATCTCATCAGCTTTCACAACTTAAACCAAAAGGTAACACATTGGGTTATTACACAGATTGAAATCTTTATTTCCTTATCATTTGAATTTTTATGAAGAAAAAAACACTATAGGCGACGATAACAAAGCAAAAGGATTTTAACATTTAGAATTGTTGATAGTTTACACAGACTTAAGAGCAGTTGAAATGAGGCCTGAATACAGGAATACATGATTTGTTCAAAAAAAGGTCATTGGTCTAGTGTGGTTTAAAGCTGTTCAATACAAAGTGGCCATGTAACCAACATATGGATTGTTAAGCCACCTGACAATGAATAAATAAAAGTTTGTATTTCTCTTACCATCCCTGCGGAGTCCAGTAAGTCTCCAGTTGGTGCCCGGCTCCGCCCCCTCCTCCTCCTGCTGCTCCTGCTCCTCCCGGAGGATGCGCCAGTTATCGCTGTCAGCCCTTGTGTACTCCTTCCTCCCCGGAACCACGGGACCTACGGCCTCTTCAAAGCCGGGACGTCCCACCTCTCGCCGCAGCGGCTTCTCAAATCGACGCTCGCCCCTGAGGACAGGAGGGAAATAGAGAGGAATCAGTTGAGTGACAAAGAGAGGAATACAAGCCTAAAAACATGAAGTCGTTTTTTTATCTGAGAGGAATATGTCGAGCCAAAACTTGCATCTCATCACTACTGATACCGATTCACACACTTTAACTGGCCTAAACGATAAACTGGCTAAGATATACGATATACAGATACTTTAGTTCAGCCTCAGCAGATACAAGGAGATGTCTACAAAAGTGAAAAATCATCCCACAAAAAGCAAAAATCTACAAAAATAGCAAAGAGGATAGTTGAGTACATGACGCTGGATGACAGCTTCTCTCAGCAGTTAAGATATATGCCGTTACTACGCCATGGAGAACCCAAGCCATGATGTATTTGACCTTTAGGTCGTGTGCGCCCGGCCTTTCTTACCGGTCATCCCAGCTCTGGCTGCGGTGTATCTCTCGGACGCTGCGTCCGAAACCCACCTCCGGCTCTTCAATACTTCTTTGGTAGAATCCACCTTCACCACGACCTCGTCCTGATTATATACACACGGAGAAGAAGGCGTTTATATTTAATATCATCATCATCTGAATAGAGAACTTGTGATCAGACAGTCTGGATTTTGTCACTCATTGCCTGCAGTATAATACATCATATATCACCTCTGGCCAAATCATACACAAGACTATAACACTGCTACACTGTTGTTGCTGCTGTTGAGGATCAGTGCATTACTGTTCAGTTAATTTTTTCCTACTTAGTTAATTTAATACCATTCTATTTAGTGTATATACAGTGCATTTTATTCCTTTATTTTCTTAAATTGAATAGGTCCTGCCCTGTTATTTTATTATATTGTATATATTGTGCATTTTCCAAACTTAATATTATTATTTTATTGTGTAACTTCGTTTGCCGCTGCCACAGATGATGAATAAAGTATATATATCTAATCTAATCAGTCAAATTTGCTCTCTCCTTTCTTTTCTGTTTCTTATCAGCCTAACATTTAAAATTTTTTTCCCAACAATTCAACAAACACGTTAAATCAACATAAATGTCTTGTACCGATAAAGCTTCAAGGTGCAGACAGAAACAAACACCAGCACATGCACACGAATCATGAAAACCACACAGCATCGCTCTTCCAAGCTGTTTCCTTGGCTTTCCTGCACCGGACGGCTGGTGTTTACATTGGCCATTCATGTGCGCCGAGTGCTGTGTGAGTCACAAGGTGAGTTCATAAGCCCCAGCCGTTTTAGACAGGTGTGGCTGGACAAAAGGACGACTACGCAGACAGGCCGAGAGGAAGTGTGCTGCATCAAGATGGTGGAAGAAAAGGGGGAAATAAACACTTCAGTGGTTGGCTTGAATAAACTGTTACTTTGCCTGGATAACAGCCATTGTAGTTCCAGCCAAGGGTTTTGGGCAGCATTTCTGTTGCTGTTGGACTCGTGTGAGTTTTAGCATAAGTGGTTGTGGATTTATGACGAGTGTACTTCGGCCGAATCAATGCTGTTCTATATTTGTTGCAGTTTCTCTTCTAATGGGTGTCTGGGAAGATTTTTACCTCGACCGCCTCGTGTGGCCCCTCGTCCTCGGACCACTCCAGCTGGGGCGGCCCCGCCCACCCCTTTTCCCATGAGCCTCAGCACAGCCACGCTGTTCACAGACATGGAGAAGTTCCTCTGCAGAGAGAGAATGGAAAGAGCAAAGGGAGGAATGTGAGGAATGTGAGCTCAGAGCCATATTTGTTAACCAACAGAACAGCTCGCTTTCTAAAACGGAGATCGTATCGCTACGACATATCACATGGCAAGCAGAAACGGCTCGACATTTGCAGGTATCTGTGTGTTTGTGACTGACCTGCTCCTCCTCAGTGAGTGGCACCAGTGCCAGTGGCTGCATGGGCTCATCTTGCAGAATAGCAGCAAACTCCTTATCCTGCATGTCCTCTGGGACCTAAAACAACAACAACAACAACAGGCACTTAGATGAAAAAATCGTAATACCATTTTTTGTTCATGACTTCTAAAAGCAACTGACCTCCAAACAGGTCTTGATTTTTGAGGATAGGGAAGTCAGTGGAGGTTTAAAAGCAATATGCATGCTTGTGTTGAGAACGTGCATAATCACTTTTGACACCAATGACTCCCTCAACATTGCTAAACATTAAAGATGATTCTTGCCATTCTGGGATTCATACAGTCCTGAGAGAAACGTTGCAGAGTTTTGCCACCAACCTTGTTGTCTTTGATATAAAGTGCTAACATCTCTTCTCGGCCGTAGCGGTACTCGGCCAGCTTGTACTTTGGCATGGCGGGGGAAGGAGGGGGGGAAGTCACACTCCCCCCACTGGACAGTGCACGGAGCCTGCGTGAGGAAGGAAAATGTCTTGGCTCAACACAGATGACATATTAGCTTTCCAATCTCAAGATTTCATTTAAAAAAAGCTATTGCGAGCAGCCCAGATTCCAAGGCCCGCTGTTTAACAATGGCTCCATTGACGTGCCTTGACAAAACAGGTCATTGACTCACAGACCCACATGGAACTCTCAAGAGATGTTGGGGGGGGGGGGGGGG